TGAAGTATAGCCAAGAAAACTCAGCTTCCACCTAGACTCTTTTTTTCTCACATTGCCTAGCCCTTTATATATAAAAATAATGCTACTGGTAGCTTAAAGAGAGTGTCTGTGGGGGAAACATTTTTACTTACAATTGTGAAACTTGAGTGGCGGTCAGTAGTGTAAAAAAAAGGATAAAGATAGAAATTCCAGTTCTCAACCATGATGGGAAACTGAAACCTACCATGCTGGGTGCATGGACAGAGAACAGTAGGGAAAGGTTTACACATCTACTCAGGTCAAAAGTCAGAGAGGAAGAGAGCAAAACCCCCCAAAAAACAACAAAAGAAGCAAACAAACAGGAAGGGGGGCTTGCATCAAACCTGGGAGAAAGAACTTTGCTAATTAATTATTGGCAAGGCATAGTTATGTTAGACTCTGAAGCCCCCTTTCTACTAAAACCCAAGGTTAGATTGCATGCAAGATTGTTAATTCCTCCAGCAAAAACATTTGTGAATCCATGTTTTGAAATCACTAGGACTGTTGATTGGACAGGATAATCTGTGTAACTATTCATGGTGTGAAGATGAAACCGTTGGGGGAGGCAGGGTTAATAAGAAGCAGCAACTTGAAAAATAATGATATTAAACAGGTTGAAACGGAATAATAGAATAACTGAGTTGGAAGGGGCCTATAACTTGCTCAGTGAAGGAATCTAAGTCAATGCAGATCTGACAGATAGTAAGCATGGTATTGGTATGTATGTATGATGATGAACTTCTTAGATAGAAACCTTCAAGACTGATTTTAGATGCAAGACATTATTTAGATCTAGGTCATCCAGAATATTAACAGCCATGATGGCATTCCGCCTCCATTAGAAAGGGAATGAGAAGCAGTAGTAAGATTTGGATAGGTTTTCACCCAAAAGAACTGCTAATTTTGCTCTAATATTGAAAAAAAAATTGGTTCTGCATTGCTATATTTGAAATAATAAACCTGCAAAGTGGTTGCCTGAGTTCGCTGTGAGATAGCACACTGTCAGGTGAAATGAATAAAGAGAACTGGAATAGAATTTCAAGGTAAGGCAGAACAAGGCTTTGAAAGGATTAGAAAATTACATTCAATATAGTGCACTAATGGGGCCACTTCTAATTAACTGAGGGTATGAGAATGAAAAACACACTGCACAACTGATGAGGAACTTGCTTCTGCCACTGTCAGAGTTCATGCGTTTCATTTGAAGCCTGTAGCCTGCATGTGAAGAACAAGCTATTATCTTATGAAGCCATAGCACTCCTGGCATGCAAGAAAGATATTTCAAGCCAGTGAATTTAGAAATGATGTAGCACATAAGGTGTATCCAGCTACTGGGTGGGTCTGATGGGGAATGCAACAGATCCTTTTCAGAATGAGAGGAAGGTGGGACTTTTCTTTTCTTTTCTTTCTGTTTCTTTCTGTTTCTTTGTTTTTTTGAAGGAAGTATATTTCTCTGTTTGGCTACAGTGACACATGAAAAAAGTTATGAGTCTACCATAGCTGTCTTTTATAAGGAACACATTTACACAGAGCTTTTTCATGTTGGAATCTGGAGGACAGGAGTGCCAAGAAACTTACTGGGATACACAGCCTGTGGCCCTCCAACTACATTGAAGAACTGTCTCTATTATGCATCAGCAATGGCTAGATTGGCAAGGGCTGATGAGAACTGGAACCAAATAGTATTGTGAGGGCCACAGATTCCCCTATCCTGACTCACAGTGCAACCTACACATATCTTACCTCTAAGCCTCATAGGCACTCCCCCTATATGCTTACAGGACTAGAACCTTCAAATGACACTGATGTTTATGGCACAATATCTCATCTAATGAACTGTTTATGTCAACAGCTGTGAACAATGGTCCTTATTTCCCCTATACTTGTGGATCTGGTGCTTTTACATCCATTGTGAAAACCCATAACCTTGACTCTACAGTGGTCTGCGTGGAGAAGGAAGAGGGGTTCTTCATTCCACCATACAGAGTGAAGTGTTCTCTGGTCAAACCACGGGCAACCCCTATTCAGTGTTCTAATTGTTTTTGATGGTATCTACCAGTGTCTTGACAGCAAACCTTGTGTCTTGACAAACCAGTGTCTTGACAAACCTTGACAGCATCTTAAAAAGCAGAGACATCACCTTGCCATCAGAAGTCCACATAGTCAAAGGTTTTCCCTGTAGTGATGTATGGAATTGAGAGCTGGACCATAAAGAAAGCTGACCGCTGAAGAATTGATGCTTTTGAATTGTGGTGCTGGAGGAAGCTCTTGAGAGTCCCTGGACTGCAAGGAGAACAAACCTATCAATTCTAAAGGAAATCAAGCCTTGAGTGCTCACTGGAAGGACAGATCCTGAAGCTGAGGCTCCAATACTTTGGTCATCTCATGAGAAGAGAAGACTCCTTGGAAAAAACCTTGATGTTGGGAAAGTGTGAGGGCAAGAGGAGAAGGGGATGACAGAGGATGAGATGATTGGACAGTGTCATCGAAGCAACCGACATGAATTTGACACAACTCTGGGAGGCAGTGGAAGATAGGAGGGCCTGGCATGCTCTGGTCTATGGGGTCACGAAGAGTTGGACATGACTAAACGACGACGACCAGTGTCTTGAAACATCCATGTTTCTCTGTTGCAGACCTTACAGGAGGCTTCACCTGAAAGACTTCACAGGTGTAATAGTCTTGAGTGATGTTGACACGGTCTTGCTGCATTTATTGCATTCATTGAACAGAGTAGAGGCAGTGTTGCAACCATCAGACCTACAGGGTGCGGTTTGGAACAGTCTGCAGGGCTGATACTGGTATTTGGCATAAGCTTTCCCAGACTGCAGCCCACCTGCATCTGAAGCAGTAGACTCTCGTGGAGGATAGCTTGTGCCAAATAAAACTTAGGTGCCAAAAAAGACTAGTAGTTTTGAATTACCACTTTTATTCTGCAGAGTGGACACAATGCCTTACAGTGTATTCTTATTCCAGTTTATCTAGTTAATTTTGAATAAGCATCCTAGTACAGGTGACTTTCCTTTGAAATTTTTATCATCCAGAAAGATGCTGAGTACTCATCCCATCTGCTTCAGCAGGTTGGTATCTGGGGGAGGTTTGGGATCCCAGTGCTATACAGGATGTTGCCCTTTCATATGATTAAGATTCCCTCTTCCTTTCCGAATGCTGCCACTCTACTCAGAAATACATTCTCTGTCCTTCCTTCTCTCTCCATCCACCATATGCTCTATTCTCCCTTCCCCTGGGTTTTTCAAACTCCCAGGAGCCCACCTGTTGCAGAGCCGTCAAAAGGAACAGGTAGGAATGGGCGTGGGGAGGGACCGGGGTACTAAGGTAGCGAGTTACTCCTAGTGCACTAGCACCCCCTACTGGAAAAGCGAGGAATAACACCGTTCTAACGTATTGGACGCACTTGGCGAGAGTGGGCGGGGAGTGGGTTTCTTTTGACGAGGAGGGGTAAAAACTAGGGGGAGGCAAGAGGGACCGCGGAGGATAGGGAGCCCCCTTCAGCGACCTGTTGAAGTAATTGCATAGGAAAGCTTTTTCATTCCGGCGCATGCAGAGACCCTCCCCTCGCGAGCGCAGATAAAAACGCATTGGGAAAGTTACGCGATGGCGCCAGGAACCACGCACCCGGGAGTCCCTTCGCGCGGCTGAGCTTCGGGGCTTCGCCAAGGGCCAAGGAAGGGGGCGAGGAGGGCGCCCGTCAATGCCCTCCGAGCCCCGCGGCCCCTCTTCGCGAAGCCCGCAGTGTGCCGCCGGAAGAGGCGCTGCCGCCCGCTTTATTCGCGCGCCTGAGCCGATTACAGGCGTTTGTTTGTTTGTTTTTTAAAGGGGGAGGGGGAAAAGAAAACCCAGCTAAAAACCCGCGAGCGCGTTATGTCTGGATCCCGAGCGCGCCCGCTGAGCGCAGGTATTTAGCCGCCAACTCTCTCCCAAGTTAAGTGAATAATGACGAAAATTACTATTTTATTCGCGCGCCTGAGCCGATTACAGGCGTTTTGGTGACTTTCATGCTCTTAGCAGGGGGGCTCCTCTCTTCTTTTACTCTCCGGAGCGCAGCTTAACGGCAATCCTGATTCTTCTCCGGAGGAGGAGGAGAGAGGAAGGGAGGGATAATATGTGTTATCTGTGAAGGTGGCGCTCCTCGTCTCCTTTCATGCGAGGTTCCTCCTCTCCATCCCTCACGCCGAGGACCCCGCGGCTGATCAAAGAGGCTCAGCCGCCCACCTCGGCTCCCGCTATTCGCGAAAGGGGAACGAGACGCTCGGATGCCTCTGGTGCCGCCGCTGGCGGGGCTCAGAGAACACTCCCCCCGGGCCCCACGAACCGCCGTTCCTTGCCACGGCTGGCTTTCTGCCGCTCTCCGCTTCGGCGGCGTCGGAACACTTCTTTCTGAAAGCAGCCTTTCCCCCTCTTCGCGTCCGGTCTGGAAGAATCTCATTCATAATTACATTGCTCGTCCTCCCCACTCCCATCCCCAGCAAAAAAAAGCAGTGCAAAAGAAGGGGGGGTGGTCAACAGCAGAGCCGGGCACAAGTGACAGCGTCTGCGTGGTACT